CTAGCTTTGAAGCTGACAGCCCCATTGTCTTGCATTTCATCTTCTGTTGAGATGCAGCCAAGCTGGCTGCGTGGGGGACACCGGAGCCACCCCAGGGCACTCTTCTTCTGGGCATTCGGTGCCCATCAGTGCTCTGCCACGGTGGGTGGGCACATCAGGGAACATCGACACGGCCCCCTGCATCGGCAGAGGGTAGGATGCTCTTGGCGTGTCAATCACTGTCATCAGAACTGATCAGTCCACATGGGGCAGGGCTGCTCCTTGTCCTGTCAGAGCTGTCAGCCACCACATCTGCTGCAGAACACGGTCTGGTTTGGACATCTGTCTTCTAGCAGGCAAACACAGCAGGAAAGTGATGTCTGTCCATGCATGATCACACGTGTGTGTGGTACCCAGACGTGCTTAGGATCCCCCAGCCTGCCTCATGCAACCTGTGTTGAACCCCCATAAACCCAGCTCTTGCCCACGGGTCAGGAGCTGCAGTTCCATTCTCACAGACTTCCCTTTTTGATGCCCGAGGTGCCCATCTCTGGTGAAAAGCATCCTATCATTACCGGCCGGCCTTTCGATTATGGGAGAAGGGGGGCATCGTTCGGTCATGTCAGTAAAGGGCTTTGTCTTGAGGACAAAGATCTTTGGTTAATGTAGAGGGTGGGCTGGCGGGCAGGGGTGCCCAGGACCAGCCAATACACCCTGCAGATAGCCGGGTGGACTTTGGTATGAGAACGAATGGAGGAGGGGCACAAGGTGGGGATTACAGCAGGGGCACTGTGGCTTGGTGTGATAGCCCATGCGTGTGATTTGATTTCATGCTGTTAATGACCCTGAGTTGTCAGCCCTCTGAGAGAGGTGAAGAACTTGGGCTCTGAGAGACAGAATGACTCACCTCAGACATGAAATTATTGACCCAGTGGCTGAGGTCAGAATCTGGGCATCATTCTAGATACTTCACTCCCTCTAGCTGATCACTTGAAGCATCTAAACGTGTGAGTATTTTTGCCTTCTAAATGTCTCAGCAATCTGGCCTTTCCATTACACTGAGATTCCTTACAGGAACCATGGACAAGCTGCCGCTATGCCCAGTTCTCTGCCCGCCCCTGCAGCACTGCCTCTGCTGCTCTGATCATCGCACCCCTGCTGAACGCTTGAGGGGTTCCTTGTCATCTGGAGTCCCTGGGTGGTACAAATCATTAATGTACTCAGCCACTAACCGACGGGTTGGAGCTTCAAGTCCACCCAGAGGCACTTTGGAAGAAAGGCCTGGCGATTTACTTCCAAAAGTTCACAGCTATGAAAACCCAATGGAACACAGTCCTTACTTTGACACACACGGGGTTGCCACGAGCCAGAATCAACTTGATGACAACTTTGTTTTTTTCCTTATCATCTAGAGAATCCCCTCCCTGAATCACGCCCCCCACCCCCACCCCCACTGCCCCGTCCCTGCCGGCTCTCACAGAATGGCTTGCAGTTCCTCTGCCTGGGACACCGTTCTGCCCTTTGCCTAGCTCATGCTGGTTCCGACTTCACTGCCAGCTCTACATCTCCTCTGTAGGAAACCCTCCCTGACCCTTGGACTGGGTTCGCTCCTTTTTTTGTGCTCTGTCCGTCACAGCATGGACCCCCCCACCATGTGGTAATGACCTGTCATGTGTCTGTGACCTCTGCTGGGCACTGAGCTCCTGGGGTCATAGCGGGTCTTCTTATCTCTGTGCCCTATTACCCAGCACAGGTTCTTGTATGTGGGGGGAGTTCAGTGAGTGCCTGGGTCATAAAAGGTGTTCATGAATGAAGGAATGAATGGGTTGCTTACAGAATGGCTGAGGGGCTGAGGCTGATGCTGGGAACCCATCTCTCTTTATTCCCCTCCTCCCTGGGGAAACAGGTGGGAAGAAGTCTGGATCAGAGATGTGCTGTCACCCTATCTGTCCATCCATCCGTCCACCCATCCATCCATCCATCCATCCTTTATTGACCATCTGTCTCCTCTGGACCATGTACTCTACTGAGTCCCCAGAGACTGTTTGGGGCCAGTGAGGACAGGACCCTGGGGCTTTCGGGCACCAAAGCTCCATATTTTCTGCCTATTCTTTGTCTCCCCACAAGATGGGTCGGAGAGAGTTGGGGAGACAGGATGGCGGTGTGGGGGAGGGCCCACAGACAGTGCCTGAGTGAGCAGCCCCCATGTGCCGCAGATTTACTTTATTTCAGTTCAAGAAAACAAAAGATCGTGTCCTTGTATTTCTCCTTAACACAAGGACATGAATCCATTTTGAGAGGTAAACTCACACAGAAGAAAGTCAGACCTGTTTTGTGCCGTCAGAACCAGAGGTAGGTGGAAGAAGGGAAGGCGTTGAAATCTCTGCATCTCTTCTCCAGGGATCATTAAGCACGTTTGTTCTCGCTCCCTCCTTTGTTCTTCAGATGGTTCCCATCTCTCTGTACTTCCTCTGATTTCTAGATGGCGGGAAGCCTCTCACTCTCCTGCCCACTCGGGGCCTGTTTGCTGAGTAGGATGCTGTGTTTGGCTCCTTGTTGGATGGCCTGCGTGTTTCTGAGCAGGTTGGTGGAGAATGGAGTGGGGAGCCCCCCGCAGGGGTTCGGAGCCTGCAAGGCCTCGGCCAGGCCCTCACCGGGAACTGGAGCCCTAGAGTCGGGGTGGGGGCTACTCCTTCACTGCTGCAGTCTCTGCCAGGCCCAGGAACAGGGGCCAAGCCGTGGGGGTCTGCGGTGGGGACATGGTGATCCAGGGACAGAGAGGCCCCTGGGCTGGTCCAGTGGCTCCCATACCTGACTGATATTTAGATTCTGCAGCAGACGCAAACATAGTTCTTAGGCCCCTGGGGTTTCTGATTCAGTAAGTCTTGGGGCCGTATCTGACCAACTGGGCACAGGGCAGTGGCATCACTAGGGTTGGTGTCACCCCCTGCCCCCATGGACCTCCTTTCGTACCAGAGCGTACGGAATCATCCTTGGTAATGTTTTTTGTACTAATGTTCCTCGTAAATTGTAATTCCCTTATGTTACTCCTTCTTTTCCTTCAATTGCTACTTCATTCTCAAAAAAGTTACTGATATAGGTTCAGAAATACTAATTTCCACAGTATTGTAGCTAAAACACCAGAAAATTTGACAAAATCAGCGACTGTAAAAACACCAGCAGCAACGAAAACGACAGCATGTGCTTGTAGGACATGCAGATGAAACCACGTGATTGGAAGCGTCACTGTAATTGGGTGATAATGACAGCTCTGACCGGAGGGCATTAGAAGGTTCAAAAAGTAAATTGGCATAGAGTTTTAGCCTTGTAGGTATATTTTATAGGTATATATACCTTGTAGGTATATAGGCTTATGAAAACTCTTTTTTGTTGTTATAACTACGGGAATATTTTTATAAAAAGTAATAAATTTTGCTGAAACACTGCTCCGTGACTGTGGGAAGTGCCAGCTCCTACTGCCCTTACCATCCAGCACCCCAGCCTGCCCAGATAGTTTTATCTGCTTTTGGTTAATCTGTATCATTATTTAGGGCAGGAGCAGACTCTCCAGGCAGCTTTGCCACATAGTGTTGCAAATATGAGCTCAGACGGTGACGTAAGTCCAGTGGAACTACGTGCCAGGCAGACAGGCGCACGGAAATTCACTGATTCCAGTAAATACTATATTCTTGTTATTTGCAGGAACCTTAAAATGGCCAATTTAGGCAGGAACTGGACCACTTAAAAAAAAAAAAAAGTTTATTTCTGTCTGTTTGTCTATCATCTATCTAGAGTCCCTAGGTGGTGCAAATGATTAACATGCTCAGCTGCTGACTGAAAGGTTGGAGATTCGAGTCCACCTAGAGAGGCGCCTTGGAAGAAAGGCCTGGTAATCTACTTTCAGAAAATCAGCTGTTGAAAACGCTATGGAGCATGGTTCTACTCTGACACATATGGGATCCCCACGAGTCGGAGTTGACTCAGTGGCACCTGGTTTTTGGTTACCCCTCTGTTTATTTATTTGAGGCATAACTTGCAATGATGTACACAAATTTTAATTGCCCAGCTCCATGGTTTTTACACGTGCATACACTGCTTACCCCCCAGCCCTATCAAGAAATAGAGCACTCCCGGCTCCCCAGAAGCTGCCCTCTAGCCCCTTCCGGCTCCTCCACGTAGGTATGGCACAGAGCAGGGCCTCAGCCAGTCAGGGCATGCAGCCGAGCAGGACTCAGTGTTGAGAGCGGAGTGGGGCTTTATGGTGGCCACAGGGCCTCCTGAAGGAGGCTGGGTTTGCTTAGCGGACCCTGCAAAGTGCACGTAGTTACTGAAAGAAGCGTTTACCAGAACAACAAAGGCTACTCCCATCAGGGGGAGGAGGGGATACTCGTGAGGAAATATATGAGCATTTATTTACAAAGATGTGCTCTTGCCTGAACGTGAGCCCAGAAGCTGGTGACCTCAGACTGTGTCTGCCGGGTTTTTGTGTGGCTCTGTGGGCCTGCTCCAGGGAGTACTGAGATAAGGCGGCCACTTCCAGCCTTGGGGAGGAGAGCACGTTCTCAGACCTGTGACCACACAGGTCCGTGTGGGCTGCAGGCAGGAGTGGATGTCAGGGCCGGGAGTTGTCCAGGCAGTCAGTTGTCAAGCCTGGCCTGCCGCACACCCCTGCCACAGTGCGTGGCCACCTGTAGTCACAGGGTCCTCGCCCCTCCTATTGTCAGATCATTAGAAAGTTCTGTCGATATAAGCGCAAACCTTCTGACTTCCTCACTGTCTCTGGGTCCCTCCACTGAGCGTTCCCTTTTCTGTTGACAGTCTCTCAGAGTTTTGAGGATGACCGTTGTTGTTCTGCCCCCTTTCCATCCTCTGATCTCCTCTGGTGACACCAGGGATCTCTAGCCCTCAGTCCAGCAGGCTCCCAGGTGGGCCCAGCGCATGTGTGGGTCTGACCAGGCCACACAGGCCGGGCCAGTGGGGCTCTTGTGAGAAGCCCTAACTATGTTTTGTCTGACTCTCAGCTCCAAGAAGCCCAAGAAACACCTCAAAGTGGCCACCACGCTCAAGCCCATGCCCCGGCTCACCATCTTTGATGAGGAGGTGGACCCTGACGAGGGGCTGTTTGGCCCTGGCAGGAAGCTCTCCCCACAGGACCCCGTGGAGGACATGTCCCCCAGAGACCGTGAGTAGACCGCATGTGTTCCTTTACCCCTACTGTCTGTTCTGTGGCCCTCCCCTGTGCATGGGGTTTGGGCCCACCATACATGCAATGGGATGGACGTCTTCTCCTTCAGTCTTGTTTGTTTTGGACACCTACTGGAACCATCCTGTCCTGTTTTTGTAAATGTTTTGGTATTGTCTGCTGTCTTCTGGGAATTCAGTAGTTATTTTCCTTGTTTATTGATTGTAGATTTGTCTGTTTTGTCCTGCTTTTTTGTTTTATTTGGCTATGTCTGAGCAGGCAGGCTGTGTGTTCTTTGTTGTTTGCTCATCTTTGGGCACGGTACTTTTCGCCTCCTCCAATTGGCAGGGTCAGTCGCTCAGATATGGTACAGCAGGGCAGGTCTAGCTGAAGAGGAGTTGCTGGGATGGGTTGTTTGTGGCACTTACTACAGCCACCAGGGCAGGACGGTAATCAGTGCAGGGCAGGTTCCAGTAGGCCATGCCTGTGCTGCTTGGTGGTATAATGTTAAGCGCATGGTGCAGATAGGCAGGATGGAGGGGGGAAGATTGTGATTTGTGGAGCTAAGATGGGTATGGAAGAGAGGAGAGAGGAACAGGAGCCAAAAACGTACAAACAAACAAAAAAGAGTGCTAGGGGAGCTTGCCATTGGAGTGGAAAGATGAGAGACTGTGAAATGGAGAAAAACAAAAAGGATAAGAAAGAAAAAAGAAAAGAAAAAAATGAATAAATAAAAATTAGGAAGAAAGACGAAAAGCAAAAGCTCCCAGGGATCCCTCCGGTGCAGCTGCAAGGTCTGGGGAAGTTGCTTCCAGGCCATGAAGTACAGCCTGGTTAGAAGGGGTAGAGGTGTCACTCAGCGCCAGGTATTAAGGGGACAAAAAGAGAAGAGAAATGAGAAACGAGTAATGAAGAAAGACAGGGGAAAAAGAAAACAAAATAAATAAAAAAAGAAAGAACAAGAAAAACTCCCAAAGAAAAACAGACAAAAAAAAAAGCCCCAAGAAAAAAGAAATGCCCTCGGGGTTCCCTCTGCACGTCTGCGTAAACTGAGGGGGTAGGTCCCAAGCCGTGCAGTACTACCCAGCTAGAACGGGCTCCCAATTTGAGAAAAGAAAAAGAAAACAAACAAACAAAAAGTCCTGGCATCCCACCAGTGTGGTAGCACGGGCCGGGAAGCAGTTTCACATTTGAGTGGCGTTTCACAGCCTTTCAGGAAGAAGCAAAGATGGTGCATGAAGTCAGGTATTTGAGAGAAAGGGGGAGGTGGTGAGAGGTAAGGAAGAAATCTAAAGAAGCTGAAAAAAGCAACACCAGCAGCCAACAAATGACACTTAGGGAGCCGGCTAGTGCGGACGGATGGAACCCAAGCGACACTGGGGTGAAGGTGGTACTTCCTGGCCAAGACACTGGCCACAGGAAGCAGAGGAGGCTGAGTGGGCGTGAAGAAGGGTGGGGGGTGGGAAAGCATATATCACTGGTTACTGGTTGTTCTGTTTCCTGCTGGAAGGTCCATGAAGCTGCTTTCTTGTATCCTCTGTTTGCTGATCTCTGATAGGAGTCCAAGATGGTGGATCCGTGCTGCGTTAGCTGATAAGGGACCTCTGCATGTATCTCTTCTCGCTCTCTGTTCTCTGTCAGTTTCTTATTCCATTCAGTGGTTGGCTGAGTTCTTCATCTCTTCATTTGATGCTTGGGGTTTCAGGATTGCCATTTTCTCTGTTTGGCTTAGTTTTTTGGATCTTTGCTGTGGAGGGACGGCATGGTGCTTCTTCCTATAGTGCCATGTTGCCCAGAAGTCCCTCAGTCTTGTTTAGACAGGATACGGACTCAGGAATATTTTCTGCTGGAGAAATCTAGCCTCACATCTAGACGCCCGCACACTGGAACATTCTAGGCCTGAGCAGTTCTGCTCCACACACACGGGGTCACCATGAGTCAGGATCGACTCCATGGCAACTAAACGACAACAATAATACCTATGCTAAACATCCCACAGACAATGAGGATGGTTTTCTTTGTTGCCTTGAGAGACGCAGGTTGTGATTTGTGTGAAAGCACCATCCTTATAGCTGCAGCCAGATGTGGGCGCTGGGGGTCTCCAGGTACTGCGTGGCTGCAAGAAGGACGCAGACCTTGCCCCCAGCATGCTGGTGACTCTCTGAAGCTGGGATCATCATGTGAGGTTTGCCTTGTCTGGATAGACCCCAGTGGAGGATTCTGTGCAGAGGTGGAAAGGGGCTGCTGAGCAGCCTTGGAACTTCTGGAAGCTCCCTGGGTCTGCCTCTCCTGGTCCCCAGGTGAGGTCTGCATCCAGGGTGGGAAGTCGGTGTCACTCATGAATTCAGCAAACACTTGGGGAACATCACTGAGGACCAGGCCCTGTGCGAGGCCCAAGAACACAAAGCCGGGTAAGAGCCAGTTCCCAGCCTTAGAGGAGATGGGACATAAACTGACAGCTGCAGGAGGCATCAGTCTGTACCAGGTCTGAGCAGAACTGCATCAGGGCCCGTGTGAGGAGGCCCGGGAAGACTTCCCAGGGTTGGGCTGGAGTGGGCTTATACTTGAGCTAGGTCCTGAAAGACCAGTGGGAGTTTGCCAGGCCTGCTGAGCAAGTATATTCCAGGTAAAGATGAGGGCAGTCGACTTCCGTCAAGGGCTGCGTTGAGCGGTTCAGACGAGGGAGTGTGGTGTGGGGGAGCACAGGGTCCTGGAAGGCAGGGCTGTGATCAGAGTAGTGCCAGCTCACCGCTGTCCCAGCAGAGTGGCCCCCGTGTTGGCACTCTGTAAATTGTGTTGAAAGACTGGAGTACAGCAATGGGAGGTGAGTTAAGAGACACTAATTGGATTGGATCGCCAGGCGCCTTGCACAGGGAACCGAAGCAGTTGTTTGCTCCTGAAAGCAGTTGGGGATGGTGTGGGGACCTGACACCGGAAGCGAAGCTGTCAGGGGACTTACACAGCATGGAGAGGGCAGGGAGGGTGGGCTGAGGCTGACAGGTGTCCCAGGCCCTGGACGAGCCTCCTGCCCCCTTGCCCTCCTCCTGCCCTGACTCTGGCCCCACTCTGGTTTGTCTGCTCCCTGCCATGTCCCTTGCTCACTGTCCTGGTTGTGCCAGAAGGCCAGACCAGGCTGTCTCTCCCTGCACCCCTGACAGCGAGGACCGGGCCAGGGCATCCTCTGACCTTGCTGCTGCTGCCTTCTCTGCAGCCCTGAAGCTGTTTGATGATCCTGACCTGGGCGGGGCCGTGCCCCTGGGAGACCCCTTACTCCTGCCAGCCATCCATGAGAGTGGACAGCCCGCGTCCAGCCTTGGCCACAGGGAAACGTCCGAGGAGCTCTTCAGGTACTCCCTGCCCCCAGTGGTGCCTCACCAGAGCCAGGGGACCCCTCGAAAGGCTGCCTCATCCCTGTGTGCGAGGGTTACTAGCCCAGCTTCAGAGGGAAGGGATCCAGGCCTGTAAAGCCAGGAGCCTGGGGTACAAACTTGCCAAGAGGCAGTGAAGGGATGTCATGGGGAGGATCAGCCACCCAGAGCAGCTTAGCACATTCCAGAACAAAAGAAATTGACCTTAGTTTCATACATACAAAGATTCTTTTTCTTTTCACATTTGTATTTTAATAATTTATATGAAAAGAAATTAAATTATATAGTTGCAAGAGGAAGTAGGACTGCCATAAACAGGTTTGGGAACAAGGAGAACTCACTTACAGTAACATGTAACTCATGTGGCAGGAGCAGAAGGGCAAATAGACCTGAGTGGCCCCAAACCAGGAGGACCCAGTAGGTTTTACAGAGGGAAGGGAGGGCGAGGCTTCATCTATTAAGTGGCAGTTGATTAGTAGGACTTGTTTGAGAACGATGTTTGCTGAGCGCTTGTTCTGTGTCAGACAATCTTATGTAATCTTCATCCCTGTTGCCATTGAGTTGACCCCCCATGGTGACCTCATATGTATCAGAGTACAACTGTGCTCCATAGGGTTTTCAATGGCACAGTCTTAGAGAAGCAGATCGCCAGGCATTTCTTCCGTGGTGCTGCTGGGTGGATTTGAACTGCCAACCTTTTGGTTAGTAGCTCAGCACAAACTGTCACCCAGGGAACATTTAATCTTCATAATAGCCCCCTAAAAAAACAAAACCAAACCCATTGTTGTCTCATCATTCCACCTCATGGCAACCCCGTGTGTTGCAGAGTGGAACTGTCCCATAGGATTTTCTTGGCTGTAATCTTTACGGAAGCAGATCGCCAGGGCTTTCTTCCACGGTACCACTGGGTGGATTCAAACCACCAACCCTTAGGTTAGTAGTCGAGCACAAACCATTTGCACCACCCAGGGACCTCAGCATCCCTCTAAGGTAGGTTTTACTATCCTATTTCACAGGACATTGATAGAAGGGGAGAGGTAACCCGCCCAAGGCCACAGCTCTTAAGTGGCAGAGCCAGGATTGGAACCCAAATCGGCCTGCCTCAGTCCTGTTCTCTCCACCCTTTCTGGTCCCTTCTCTGTGTGCAGGATGAACTGGGGACTCTAAGCAGTTGTTGGAGAAGACACTAGGAGATCTGCTTTCCCTGCCCTGGGCCATAATGGATTATCTTGGGCTTCTGTGTATGCAGGTTGTGTTCTTCGCGTGCGTAGTGTTACACATGTCCACACCACATCATGTGCGTCACGCAGGATGCAGGGCTGTGCCTTGGCGATTTACAGGAAGCTGGGCTGTCTCTTTCCAGGAACGGTTTACATGGCACCAGGTCATGCAGTCCCTGGGGGCTGTCATCTGTACCCCTTGTTAGCAGACACGGCCTATTAGCCCTTAAGTGCCCGCCGAGCCTGAGTCACAGCGGTGGCTTCTGGTATTTACATCTCCCTATGGCCCCTGGCATCTGTTCACTCTCGTCTTGTGTCCTGGCTGCCGACATCCTGCCAGGCTGGCAGGAATTGGGATTATTGTTCTCATCTCATGATGGGGGAAACCGAGGCACAGGTGAGAGAGCATACGAAGGTCAGCTCTGGGGAGCGGCAGGCCAGGTGAGCACATCCAGCCCAGGGAGCCTCTGCCATCTCCAGGACACAGCATGTCCCAGTGGGGCAGGGGTAGCAGGACCTTGTGGCTCAGCTCATTCTGAAGCCGTTACGTCAGCACTTACCAGCAGTGTTCTGTGGAACTCAGGCACAGTGGGATGGGGAAAGATGCCACCTTCAGAAGGGTTCTGCGGCAGGATGGGTTGGGGAAATGACTTCTTGGGGCTTTTCATGTCTGGGCATGTGTTGCTCAAGGGGGAAGCCCCAGGCAGCATTTCCTGCACTTATGGGTCCCTGGGACCCCTCCCTCCCTTTGTAGTGCCTATTAGTGTCCCACAGAGCTAACGGTCCACTGACCACATTTTTTGGAATCTCTGCTTTAAAGAATGTGAGGCCTGCATCCTGCCTTCTTTCTAAGAGACAGCTGGTAATGAAAGAATAAGCTTCTGGAGAGCAGGAACCATATTTTATTCTTCTTTGTGTCTACCTTGTGGCTATCGAGGCAGTAATTGGGCTTCTGTATAATGAAAAGCTTTCTAACATTCATTCACACATTCATGCACGCATGCATGCATTTATTCATGCTTTCACACACTCATTCATTCCATTAACTAGTTGTAACATTGGCTACCGCAAGGCAACGTGGAGTGGTATGACCAGTAGGGTTTGGAGTCAGAGAAGCCTCCATCTCTTGCAGGGCCTCCAGGGTGGCCCTTTGGCTGGTTCTGCCCTCTGCAGGGAGGGACCCAGGAAGGAGGGGTGAGAGCTGTGGTCTTCAGAGCTCCTTCCAACCCCTGGGTGGTTGATGTCACGCAGGCTGGGCCTGGAAGAGGGAGGATTCCAGAGCACCTTGCATTAGTGGGACCTTTTCCTAGTCATGACTCAGAGACCCCAAATGGAAATAAGGTTCTTAGAAAGGGATGCCTATGCAGCCACCCCAAATGGAAATAAGATTCTCGAAAGGGGGTTCCTATGCAATTACCCCTATGCTGAGTGCAACTCCATCACATCCCACTGTGGCTGGCCATTCCATGTCACACCTCCCACCTCAGAGCACATGGGTTCCAAAGAGTCATTGCTTTGCCAGGCAATCTAAATCCCGAAATCAGACACAGCTTTCAGCTGCAGCTTTATTTTCCTAAGAGCCCCAGTGTGAGGATAATTCAGTCTCTTGAGCTTTTCCTGGCCCCCAGCCTCCAGTGGAGGACATGGGATGTGGCGGAGAGCCAGCACCTGCCCTGGGGGAGCTGATGGAAGGGCCGCTGCTCAGTGAAGGGAGCCGGGACAGTCCAGAGCTGGCGGGCACATCTGACCTGGTTTCAGGAGCGGGCCTCTCCCTGCCGAACTGTTGTTAGTTGCCATCAAGTTGATTCCAACTCATGGTGACCCCATATGTGCAGAGTAGAACTGCTCCATAGGGTTTTCAAGGCCATGACCTTTCAGAAGCAGATCGCCAGGCTTGTCTTCTGAGGCGTCTCTGGATGGGTTCAAACCTCTAACATCTCCATTAGTAATAGAGCGCTTAACCATTTGTGCCACCCAGAGTCTAGGTCTGGGCGGGAAGGACTCTTTTCGTCCCTGTCTCTGCAGTCCAAGGTGGCTCCAAATTCTCGCTTTCGTGTCTGTGCCGCATCGCAGGAAGTCAGCCCAGTAATTGGGCAGGGAGGCCTGGAGCCCCCGTCACAGCTAGTACTTGGCAGGCAGCCCCTCCTCCAGGAGCTGAGGTTGAAGAGAGCTGTGCTGGGCACTGTCATCCTTCTGGAGGCTTCTTCCAGGCCTTGTAGGGCTGGGGAGTTATTCTGACCAAAGATGCCTCCTCTCTGCTCCCTCCACCCAGCTCTGCTGACATCAGAGCTGACCGGCTCTCTGAGTCTTGCTATCCTGGATACGGTGCCCAGGCAGGAAGGCCCTGGTCTCAAGCCTGCCTCGTCCCTACTGTCCGTTATCATTCTCGCCTCCAAACCCCTGCTCTATGCTGTTCCCGGCTGCAGGATTCCCCTCTTACTTCCCTCTGTTTGTGCCAGGCGTGTGCTGAAAGGCCCCGTGTCTCCAGGAAGCCTTTCCAGCCTGTTCTGGCCCATGGGGTCAGTCCCTTCTCTGAACTTATTCTTGGACCCTTTTAATTGTGTGGATCCCATCTTAGCAGCTGGACTGTGAGTGCCCTGAGAGGAGGGACTGAGGCTGCTGCTCCGTCATGTTTTATGCATGCCTTGTTCCATACACGGCAGCGGTTTTCAGTAGAAAATCAATATAGCAGTATCTGCTTGCATTTGTAAAACACTTCCCATTTGTTATTTTATTTGATTCTTATAAGAATTCATGTGAGGTTGGCAGGGCAGGAATTATCCCCAGTTTCCTGATGGGGAAACTGGGACCAGACAGGGAGGTAACAGGAGCTGCAGAGTGAGGAATGGAACCCAGTCCCCATGGCCGCGGTGCTGTGCAGCCCTGCGAGGTGCTGCTGTTATTCCCATTTAATAGCTGTAGAAACCAAAGCTTGGAGAGGCCACGTAGCCTGCCCAAGGCTACTCTGGTTCTTCTGCCTGCAGCTTGTGAGCGCGTCCTCCCCTGTCCGCAGTGTGACTGACTGACGTGTACTCAGATACCCGTTAAACACAGGCACCTGTCTGAACATTTCTGCTGGTGGCTGGTTTTGGAAGCTTGGAGGGAGCCAGGTACCTCTCCTCCCCTCTAGGTTTCCAAACCTGGCGCACTGGATTTCCCTGGGCATATTCCAGGTAACTCTGCCTGCGCCTCCAAGATGTTATCATCAGACCATTCCTGCCAGCCCTGTGAGTGGTTGGGCCCCGATGTCTCTTAGTTCCAGACCAGACTGGCCGGTGCACAGCTCCTCCACAAGGGCAGGAGAGAGGACCGCCATGCCCCTGGGAATGTGAACTGGGGGCACCGTTCCCAAGCCCTGTTGGAAGCCAGGGTGCCACCCTGCCCTCCCTCCTTGCCCAGCTGGGTGAGGATATGCACGCTGGCCCAGTCATTCTTTCCTAGAGTTATGGAAGCTAGAGTATTCGTGAAATGACCGCCTCTGGCCCCTCATGATAGGAAGACTCAGGCAGGGAGGGGATGGGCCCCATCTTCGGTCTCTTACTCTATGGTCTTCTTGTTCTGGAGATTCTTTTAATGACTGAGAGGCCCTCAGACTCAGCATGTCCTAGACTGAACTGTCCTCTGTCGAGGGACAAGAAAAATGGGTACCCGATGTCCTTGATCCTGACCCAAAGGAAGAGCTTGCTGAGGATGCAGGTGTTGAGACCACAGAGGTTGCCACAGAGTCCAGAGGGAAGCTCCTCCTTTGGGAGGCAGGGGGAGGGTCTGGGTCGAGTCCTCATAGGCAGCAGGCCCAGGGTGTCGCTGGGGGCAGGGGCTTTTAGTCTCCTGCTGCCTCCATGGTATGACTTAAGGGCATCTGGAGGGCCTGTGGCCTTAGCCTAAACAGGGACCAAGGAACCTATATCAACCCCAACTTGGAGCTAGAGAAAGGGCTTTAATGCATAAGTGCTCCCAGGAAAGCAAACACACCACAGAGAACTCAGGCAGCCACACTCCTCAGGTTCAAATCCTGCTCCTCTGTACACTAGCTGTGTGACCCAGGGCAAGGCACTTAACCTGTCTGAGCCCCAGTTTTCACATCTGTAAAACAAGGCTAATACCTGCTACCAGACAGTGTTCTGAGCTTAGTAAATGAGTTAATGAATGTGGAAATGGTAGGCCATCAAATATATTAAGCACAATGTCTATTTCGTGACTGGGTGGGATGGATTGAGTGGGGTCTTCAGTTGTACATCAGGCCTTCAGGAATTGAGTGTTCCACCAGGAGCTGGCAACAGGAGCTCCCTCCAGGCAGAGGGCAGATCCAGGCAGTGGCCTGGCCTTTCTTTCCCGCCGTCAATACTGGGGGATGGTCCGTTGTGACCCACTGATGGGCGGTCAGCGAAAGGGCCACGATGGAGCCATGATGGAACTCTGACCCACTGAGGGGCGCTGTGGAACAGGCAGGCCCTGGGTCACAGTGGCTCAGAGTCCCCATTTGTTCTTTCTCTGGTTGAACTTGGTTTAGGTGGGAGCTCAGCTTCTAAAGTCAGCCATCCCTGGTTCCGACTTAGGCTCTGCCACACAGTAACTCCACCTTAGGCAGGTTCCTCATCCTCCCTTAGCCTCAGCTTCTTCATCTGCAAAGTGGGGATGCAGTAGAACCTCCCCAAAGGCTTGTTTTGAGGATTAGATAGTATAGCATATTGAAAGCACTTGCCCAGAGCAGGAGCTCAGTATATGGTAGCTCTTCCTGTTATTTCTAACGGGGCTGAAGGAAAAGTCCCCTGAAGAGGCCAGTGGGTCTAGAGTGGAGTCACCTCAGAAGCAACCATCAGGAGGCTACTGTGGGCCCCCTCTGCTCCTGCTGTGCTGCGGGTTGGAGGGAAGGAGAACCCTGCCCTCCAGTTTGTCCTCAGGAACAGGATGAGGGGAAGAGGCCAAGGTTGGGCAGGGGCTTGGCCTGGCTTAGGGTGGCAAGATGGAGCAGGGGCTGAGCCCAAGCTCAGCTCTCTGGAGCTGCTGCCCAGTCAGCATGTGGGCAATGGCATTGCCTGGGGGCCTTGCTCCTTTTGCAGGAGGTGGTTATGCTTAGGGAGTATAACCGTTTGGGTTCCCTAGAGTTGAAGAGGACTTGGACCAGATCCTGAACCTGGGAGCCGAACCCAAACCCAAGCCCCTGCCCAAGCCCAAGCCACCAGTGGCAGCTAAGCCAGCATTACCCAGGAAACCAGCTGTTCCCCCCAGAGCGGGCCCGTCTGAAGCTGTGGTCGGGCAGTGGAAGCAGCAGCAGCAGATCCAAGCCATGGACGAGATGGACATCTTGCAGTACATACGGGACCACGACGCACCTGGCCAGGCCACCCCCAGCCTCTTCTGACCCTGCCCACCCCGCTGCTGGGCCCCTGGGCAGCCCACCCTCTCCTGTGGGGTGGGGGTGGGGGGCTGTGAGTGAGGTGGGGACTTTGCCTCTAGTCCAAAGGGGTAGGGTGGAAGCCTGGCTCATAGGACCCCTGTCCTGCCTTGTTCCTTTGCCTCCTGGTCTGTGGGGTCTGAATGGACCTGTGCAGGGTGGGGAGAGTGAAGGTCACTATAGGAAGTAGAGCCCACATGGTATCGGTCCACCTGGGTGTGGAGAGGAGGGAGAGTATAGGATGCCTTGCTAACCAGAGCCTAGCCGCAAGGATGGAGTGAGACGCATGGGGGTCTCAGGGACACCTGACCGAATGCACAGGTGACTGTGCCATAGGCTTCACTGGGGCCAGAGAAACCTCATGCTAACTCGCGCCCATTGGTGCTGCCAGCCCCAGAGCAGGGAGGGGAAGGCCTGGCTAACCTGGGCCTGGTGCGGGGGGCTCCCCATGCCACGCTACTCCAGAGTCTCTGGGTGGCTGGAGGAGGCTCTGGGAGGGGCCCCTGGGAGAAGGATCCTGAGTGGGGGCCTGGGAGAGCCAAGCTGTCCTATAGGAAGCCTCTCCTAAGGCTTCTCCAGTTACTGGATTATAGGCAGGTTGCTTTCCCTGTGCTCCAAGCTCAGAGAAGCCAGGCCCAGCCCAGCCTCTCTGGGCTCTGGATAGCCCCGTTGACTAGCTCCACATTTCCCTCCCTCTGCATTTCACAGGGAAGGCCAGGCCAAAACATGGCCTCCTTGGGCCTTTGGGCAGAGGGCCAGGGCCCACCATTGCAGCTTTAAGCAGTGTAGGCTATGCATCCTCCAGAGCACTGCCCAGGCCTGGGCTTGGGGTGGCCTTCCAGCCCCTCACTGCTGCCCCTGCTCACAGTGGGCTGGGGCATGATGGTCTCTGGCCTCTGCTTCAAGGTCCCAGGTGTCACATGGCCTTCCTTCAGGGTCTGCACCTGCTCACCAGCCATTCACCAGTGGGGGCCACCTGCCTGGGAGCAGGAGCCTGCACTAAGCACCAGGAGGGTCTGTGCCTTAGGCCCCCAGAACCCCTGCACGTAGGTGGAGCCCAGTGTGGTGCTCAGGAAATTCCCAATGACTGAATGATATTTAATGGAGCAAAGCGGGGAAAGAATGTCATTTTGTGGTATAATCTTCATGTTTAGAGTAGGATTTAAAGAAACACAGTAGTTTCTTTTTTTTTTTTTTAGAAACAGTTTTTAATGAAGCACAACCACTGTTGTCCTTGGCTCTGTGCTGCCTGACTAGCAGAGGCACTGGAAGGGCTTTGGGAATAGGACACCAGACCCTTTCCTGATAGGGGCCCAGAGCGAGCCCTGAGGGTGTCCCCTGTGTTCCTGCGCCAGTGGTTTGCTGCCATCAAAATCTCTAGTGTTCCTGCCCTGTCCCAGGGCCTGCAGGGAACGGCCAGAGCGCCGAGTCCTGTCTGTCGTGCATCTTGTGTTTCTTTGTCTTCTAATCCTGAAAAGGCTGTCCCACCTACTCCCCCCCCCCAACCCCTGCCCTTCACTGTCGGCCCCTCACCTGTGGGCAGACCCCTTCCTGGGACCCCCGCCCTGGGCCCTGCACCCCCTGCTGAGTGAAGAGGAAGACATTGGGTAGGAGTGGTGAGGCCATAGCTCTCCAGCTCGCCCTTTCGTCCCTGCTTAGATGCCACCTCCCTACACCCTCACTCCCTGGCCTTCCCCCACCCTCTAACCTGCTTTGGACAATGGAGACACGGTTAGTTAAGCTGGAGAAGGCTTAGGTGTGACATAGGAACAGGGTAGGCCCCCCAGGCTGGGATCTCTGCAGAACTGGGCCTGCCACTCATGTGGATTCATAGAGCTGTGGCGCAGCCTCATTCTCAGTGGCCTTGAGCTCTCTGGACATGTCAGTGAAGATTTGTTCTCCCCAGATAACGGAATTTCTAACTGTGGCTCACTTTGCACTGCAGGTCTGTGCCATCCTTGCCAATCAATGACCCCTTTCATCCAATAAAGCCCATGTCGGTGATTCATTACAGCATTTGTCAGTGATGTTCTTTTCTGTGTGCTGGGCTATTGGGGAGGGGGGTTGTCCTTTATAACAACGGACCTAACCAGGGGAGCTGCTTTGAGGGGCCTGGGGTCTTCCGAGGCTCTGCCCCAGCCTGCCAGGATGGCTCTCAGTAGGGTAGGGTGAGGGGAAAGGAAGGATTACAGTCATTTTTGCCCACTGTGTAAACTGAGGCAGCGGGGCCAGAGGCCCAGGCCTCAATGGAGGTCCTCAGGTCAGTAAAGGAGAGACTGCTCAGCCAGAGCCTTTGTGGAAAGAGGACCCTTCCCCTCCCCAGACCTCACCTCCCATCTCCCCAAAGAGGGAACTAGGCCCTGCTTGGACTGCCCCTGGGGCCCTTTCAGCTCTGACATCAGACAGGATTCTGCAGCCTTGCCCACATATACTCGTCCACCCACAGAGAAACCCAGCCCAGGCCTCCTGGCTTCACATGCCCTGCTGGTGCTCAGCTTCTCAGATGCTGCTTTCATCCCTGGGCCCCATAGATTCTGAAGCCAAACAATTCTGCAAACCCACCTCCACTGCAGAACAAACAACAGGTTCCCGTGAAACCCAGGGAGGCTGTGCACAGGCAGTTGGTGTGCTGATATTGTGGCTCATCTGCCCCCACAACCTGAGTTTGGATCTTTGTAGCTAATGTGAGTTGGAGTCTTGGCTCCCAAGAACAAACAATCCAGCCATTCAGAAAAGATCTGCTCAGCCCGAGGGAGTTTGCAGTGGAAGAGGAACGGAGAGGTTTAATTGTGGACCAACGGGATTTGTTTGACCCCTGTGGAGGATGCAGTGACATCTCTGGCAGGGGTCTCTCCCTTCCTTCCCGTATTGTTCCTTTCAAACCAAAAAAACCAAACCCGTTGCTGTCAAGTCGATTCCAACTCATAGCAATACTATAGGACAGAGTAGAATTGCCCCCCATAGGGTTTCCAAGGAGTGGCTGGTGGATTCAAACTGCTGGCCTTTTTGGTTAGCAGCCATAGTGCTTAACCACTGCGCCACCAGGGCTCCACTGTTGTTCCTGTCAGGAAGCCATCAGTTCCAACCAGTTCTGGAGAGTCCCAATTCTAGTGGCTAGTCCTGGCCAGGCCCATGTCTCCAGACCCATGGAGAGCCCATGTGTCTGTGATCATGTCAGTGCAATGGGTCTAGAACTGAGCTCACCTCCCGTGTACTCGGTGGGCTGGTCTGAGGCTCTAGTCGCTCACACCAGAAGCAGACGAGACAGCAGAAGTCCAGCCACTCTTTGGGGCACTGTGGCCTTAGTTCCCAGCTGCCACTTGGCATTGTGTTGACATACTCAGTGCAGTGGATTTAACACCCAGTGCTGTGCTTTGATGGAAGGAGCCCTGGTGGTGCAGTGGTTAAAGCACTTGGCTGCTAACTGAAAGGTTAGTGGTTCCAACCCACTAGCCGCTCTATGGGAGAATGATGTGGCAGTCAGCTTCTGTAAAGATTGCAGCCTCGGAAACCCTATGGGGCAGTTCTGCTCTGCCCTGTAGGGTTGCTGTAAGTTGGAATTGACTCGACAACAATGGGTTATTGGCTGTGCTTTAATCTGTCTCCTCGCCAGTCTCCTGGGAAATCTGACTGCAAAATCATACTCGGTTCTCTAGCTCACCAACTGTCCTGGGAAAGACAGAGGGCAACAGAGCCACCAAAATGTCCCCTGGATGGTGACCCTGGCTGCCTGGCCCACTCCCTCGGATGCTGCTGTGTCTTCATGTGAGTGTGATGGCTGCGCAGAGCAAGTGTGGTCAGGACTCCACAGCCGCTCAAGTGACGGACCTTTCAGTGTTAGGCTTGGGATGTCCCCACTCAATTGAAACTCCGATCTCTCCAAACCATTCCACCTGCAGCACCTGAGGCCTCCAGGTTGGGGAAGGCTGATCAAGGGGGCCATGGGGTCATTGGCTGTGAGCAGTCCTTGGGTTCTCATGTAGCCTACGGCGTCTGGGTGAATCAGCAGTCTGGCCCTATGGGAATGGAAGGGTCTGGGTTCCAGTCCTGCTCAGCCACATGATGTCCCCTCCAGTGCCAAGTGAAGTTGAGCCTGTTGCCACAGTGCCAAGTGAAGAACTTAACCCTGGGGTCATGTGAACAGACTGTTGTCGTTAGCTGCCATCGAGTCAGTTCTGACATGTGGCGACCCCATGTGTTACAGAATAGAATTGCTCCATTGGGTTTTCTTGGCTGTAATCTTAATGAAAGAAAATCAGTAGGCCTTTTCTGCTGGGTGGATTTGAACTGCCAACCTTTAGGTTAACAGTCGAGCACAAACCGTTTGTACCACCTAGAGGCCCTCGGTACTGTAAAGTCTCATGCATGCTGAAGGACTGTCAGTGGACGGGTCCCTCTAATTCATCACAGAGGAACCCCTCCCCAGGATGAGTGGCATACTAATGGGAAGAAGCAGGATACTGGATGGGTGGTCAGGAGGCCCTGCCAACTTCAGCTCAGCCTGGCCTCCACCCAGGGCATCGACCATTATCTCCAGGCTTTCATTGTGTTACGACAGGGTAAAAGAGACCTGTCCCTGGACTCGAGGGCTCTTGGGGTGAAGTATGCTCAACAAATACTAATCCCCTCACCCATGACTGCCCTTCAGCTCTTGTTTTCCATGGCTCTGGCCACTGGTGAGAGCCACGGGATTTCATTTCTCGGGTTGTGCTCAGGTTAACACTGCAGCTTCTGGCGTGGGATTACGGGTTCAGCACACGGTCTCAGTAAGCAAGAATCCCTACTGACAGCGTTCAGAAGCGCTGATGCTTCTCTGCAAACTCAGCAAATAACAGCAGCCTCTAAATCGCTTTCTCAGTAAAGCTGGGTTAGCTGCCTCCAGCCCAGCTGGTCAATGACATCATCTGTTTCCTGACATGCAGAGTTCATTCAACAACATCAAGCGTTTAATAGGCACCTATTGTGTG